GCAGAGGATACGGAGTGTGGGCACCACGGGGAGCCTGCCTTTGAAGACTTTATGTAGCCCCCGCCCCACGCGGAAAGCATCCGTGTCCTCACTGATCATTAAACAGTAATTGCTGAGCGTGCACCAGGTCAGACCCGGCGCTGACGGGGGCGGGCGCTGGGGCCTGGCAGTGGGGATTTGGGGGCGACTGTCGAGGGGAGGCCACAGGCGCCGAAGCCCCTCTGGCGCACAAGCCTTCCACCACGCCCACCGCATCCCTTCCAGAGGCGCGATGCAGAGAGCCAGCCCACGGGCCCAGCGCAGCCCGTCCCGGCACGTGCTCCAACTCCTGGAACGTTCTGCTGCGGCCCGCACTTCTTCCCGAGGACTGCGGCCGTCGGTCCGCCCCCTGAGCCGTCTGCGCACAAACCCGCCTCCTTCCCCGCCACACGCCCAGCCTCCCCCCGGCGCCCTGCCAGCGCCGTCGCAAGCTCGCTGACCTGCTCCGGGCAGCCCCGCACGTCCAGAGCATCTGGGTTCTCCTGTCCCGCGGCCCCTCTCTGGCTGCCCTGCCTCCCGCCATCGGGGGACAACCCCGGCGCAGGTCGCCCCGGCCCAGCCTGTGCAGAAGCCACAGCAACCTCCGTGTTGCAGGTGCCAGCCTCAGCGTCAGCTCAGGTGTGGCCTCCCCCAGGAAGCCCTCCCGGCTCCCCACGCGGGCTCCTGCTCCCCTTGCAGGCCCCCGGGGTGCGTCTGCTCCAAGTTACCACGGCGCGGCCTCCCGCTCACGCTCGGTGAGCACAGGGACCTGTCCGGTCTGCCAGGGGTCCCTGGAGCCGCGGCGCCCTGCAGGAGGCTGGCCCGGAGGGACGCCGAGGCAGACGGGAAGGGCGAAGGGCGGAAACCATGAGACTGGGGACGGGGAGGAGGCAGCCGGGGTTGCCCCAGTCCTGGGGCTGCTGGAACAGGCTCCGAGCGGAGCAGGCGAGACGCAGGAAGAGTCTGCCCTGTCTGTCCTGCCCTGTCCTGTCTGTCCTGCCCCGTCCGCGGCGAGGTCCGGGGCGCGGCCCGCGGGGCGGGAGGGCGGGGCGGGGACGGGGCGGACCCGGGGCGGACCGGGGAGCGAGGCCGCCTGCGGCGCGGGTCCAGCCGGGTGCGGACGCGGAGGCTCCCCGCGCTCCCCGCGCTCCCCGCGCTCCCCGCCGCGCCATGCCCTCCTACACCGTCACGGTGGCCACCGGCAGCCAGTGGTTCGCCGGCACCGACGACTACATCTACCTCAGCCTCGTGGGCTCGGCGGGCTGCAGCGAGAAGCACCTGCTGGACAAGCCCTTCTACAACGACTTCGAGCGCGGCGCGGTGAGGGCGCGCGGCGGGGGCCGGGCGGGGGCCGGGCGGGGGTCAACCGAGGGTCCGTCGGGGCGGCCGAGAGCAAGCCGGGGGTGCCCAGGACCCAGTGGGGGGGGTGGAAGCCCTGGGCTCCCCAGCAGCCGGGACCCCGCCGCGGTGGCCAGGACGCAGGTGACCCAGGTGGAGGTGCCCTGGGAGGAGGAGGAGGCGCGAGGCTTCCTCTGCATTTCCCGGTGCGGACGCCGAGGCTCTGCGAGGCCGCTGCGCTGGGCGGTGCTGTCGCTACCTGTCTGTGCCACCGCTCTGCGGGGCTCCTCCGCAGGTCGCACGGGGTGGGGCTCCCTGCAAGAAGTGTTAGGTATTGAGTATTGTTTTTATATGT